ACGTGGTGAAATCGGGCGTTTGTCAAAATGATGAAATCGAAGAAATCGGCATTTTTCCTGCTCGTTGGACAATTGTTTTTTCTCCACTTTTCTTCTTTTTTTTGGCAAAGCACTTTTTATGTCCATTTAATAATTTAAAACCACATTTCAGAGTGGATTTTTTAAAACTGAAAAATGATCAAAGACACACACTAAAAAAATGTAAATTTGCCGTTTTCAGGGACACTTAATACGCTTTGGAATAAACCAAACTTAGGCGGCCGTTTTAACACTTGTTTTACCGTTGAAACCAGGCGGGCCCCTCCTTCTTCCAGTGTATATATCTCGATATCTATTCAAGATAGATGGGTACTTTTTTCATTAAAAGCAAGAAATATAAACAAGCTTTAAGATGGTCCCAATGACTCTATATGCCCAACAATTGACAAACGCCTGATTCCATTGTGTTGTGACTCCTATAATATTTTTTTTCACAGAAACTTTACCATGTGTTGATATTAATTTTATCGTTTCAGCCAGCCTTTCTCCCCGACAACTACACCAGCACTGCCATAATCATCATAATGTGTGGCAGTTAAGAAAAGCTTCCAAAAGGAGGAACTCGCTAAATTATATATATATATATATATATATATATATATATATATATATATATATATATATATATATATATATATATAATGTATACCTCTATATAAACATTTTCATCAGAACACCAAGAAATACCATAAGCATAATTTTTGTGAAAACGCTTTGTATGGTTGAATTTTGTAATGTTGTTGTTGTTGTAAAAATATTTTGAAATATCGTCATGTTTGTAATGTCTCTTTGTGGAGTAGTTATTATAATAACGCAGTTTCTGTGGGCCTATCTGTTTCCGACTGACACAGTTCTGATCAATTAATCTGAAAAAGAAGTTCGATAAAGCCTCATTCCCTATTCAGCATTTCTGAACTCCTTGCAATCGTTAGTCCACTGGAATTCGTCGGTCTTGAACCCAGCTACTAGCATTTCTATAAGGCTCCCACCGTTTTAGAGCTTCTATGTAAAAGCACCGGGCTGAAAAAAGAAGCAGGTGTCTAAGCACTATAATCATAAAGTGGTAAATAAAGAGACTTTAGGCTACAAAACAGCCTGTGCCTGATGCCTCGCATATTTCTTATGTTCGAAACCAACACGTCTCTTCAATACAATGTACGTGTACGAGAAGCCCAAGAAAATTTTAATTAGAATCTAATCAAATTCTACTTCTCCTTATTCTTCCCATTCACAATGGGGATGTCACTAGGCTGAACGAGCGAAGAAGGCCCCTGGAGTGGAGTCCTTGACTTCCAGTAACAGTAATACCGGTACGCAATAATTGTTGATGTTTTTTGCTTCCCTCGACACACTTTAGATACAGCCTACATTTAGGATCCTTCGATCCAGCAACCAAGGATACCCGGGCTGCGAGAGACATAACCTCCAGGCAGACGAAGGTTCTTGATAACAAAACAACATTAACACATTATTTATAAACGTTTAGAAATATATCAAACCTTCTCTAACGGGAATCGAACTCAGGTTTTCTGCATGTGGCAGCGAAACGCTTGGCCTCTACACCACAGACGTACGTATGGTCCAATAATATCATGAATAAGTGTAAGAACGCAACGAATTGCAACGGTCAGCCTTCATCAATGTCAATGGGAGCTTTCTATCTCTACTCACAATGACTAGATGGCTGAAACAAGTAGGCCTACCAAAACAATTTAAAGTAGTCCATCCTCTGAGCACCGGGGGGTTTCTATCCTGTCGTTTTGATAGATGCTACTCATAAAAAAAATTATGAACTCAACTCACGTCTGTCCTTAACCCTGACCTCAGACACACCGGCACTTCGTAAAAGCTTCTTTTACTTTCACACCCCTATGACCTAACACCTCAGCCACGCTTTATATTCGAATATAAACAATGTCAAAGTCCGCTATCGTATCCGGAACTGTGAATTGGGCCTTCTTGTTTTATGGATCTTTCTGTTGTGTGACCGATAAATGAAACCTCTAAGTGTTTGTTTGAAAATACAGTAAAAACAGGAAGCAGGAACATAAGGGTTCTTCACAACACTGGGGAAAAGAGTTATCGTCCGAGAAAGCAGACCAAATGATTCGACGTATAAGTTTCCATACTGTTGATGAAACTCGACCTTGGTCTCCTTCCCCCCG